CACACACACACACATATATATATATATATATATATATATATATATATATATATCCATCTATATATATATATAGACAGATAGATGGATAGATTTATATATATAAGTATTTTTTAATAAATATTTCTATAGAAATTATATAAAATTTGCATATATTTTTGAGTAAATATGTTTCAAACTTTAATTATTTGTATAATCTAATCTTGTGTTTGGTAAAATCCCCCATACTGTGCATATAATAACATTGTTGTTTATTCAAACTGAAAAACTTTACTGTAGTAATGCTAGTTAGACATTATTTAGTCGCCCAGAGTAAGATTTAGTCGCATATGCGAGTGATTTACTCGCAATGTAGAGGGTTGGTATTGGTACAGCTATATATTGTCAAATTACAACTTTGCATCCTGTTTGCTGCCTCATTCATATTTAGTTTGACTGAACTGGAATTGAGAAGACATTTTCTGCTCTTCCTCTTTTTCTCACTCTCTTTCTGTCTCTCAGTTGTGCAGTTATCCTGTAGAGGGCTCCCTCTCATTCTCCTTTCTCTGCCTCACTCCTACTCCACAGCGCCCCATCCTTAAGGGAGGAGAGAGAGAGAGAGAGAGCTCAGTCTCGATGTGTGGAATTGTTGGGCAGACATTGCAACCATTACACCTCTTCCTACTGTTCTGCCTCAGTCACTGTATGTGGAAAAGGGCTATTACTTATTACTGCAAACGGAGGACTCCTACAGAAGCCAAGAGAAAGAAAGAGAGGAAAAAAGAGTGAGAGAGAAAGAAAGAAGAACTAAAGCAACAACTGGATGACAGGAACAAACTGAATGCCTACCTTTCCCTGTTTAAAAGAAAAGAAGAAAAACGGAAGGCACTGGAGTATTTGTTTTTTTCTTTCGTTTTTTTTTCTTCTTCTTTCTCATCGTGGTGCTGGGAGGCACATCATCTTTTCATTTATTCGCTCTCTCCATCATTTGCCTCCTGATCTATTTCTCCATCTATATGGTGTATAATTTTGTCTATTTATGACGAGACAGGAGAGAAGAGAAAGAAGGGGCAAGTTTGTTTGTTTTTGTTTTTTACTCTACCACTCATTTTTTACTATTTATGACCCCCTTCATTCCTTCACCTGTCCCTCCTTGCCATCTCTCTCCTCTGATCATCCCCTATTCCTTCCATTTCTCTCTCCATCCCAAAAGTGTGATGCTCCCTGAATGAAAGTTGGGTTAGAATTGTGAAAGAGACTCAAAAACCATCTCCACATCTCCTTATCAGTTTTTAAATTTTTTTTCTTTCTCTCTTTTTTTTAAACCGTTCTTTTAGTCCTCCACCATCTCCCCTCAGTATCACTATTTTTTCCCCTGGATGCTTTAATATTCTTCTAGGTAGGTTTAACGGCTCGTTTAGTGTCTGTCCGTTCTGTTTGTCTGTGTGTGTGTACTTGTGTGTTCCTTTTTTACATGCACATAAAACACACATCGACACACACATACACACACACATGCATTAAACTAATGGACAGCCAGGTGTCAAGAATTACATATAATTTCTCCATGCCCATTTTTACCCTTCTCCAACCCTGTCCATTTTACTTATGAACAGCAAGACATTTGTTTACCGTCATTCTTTTTTTTGTAACACACACAATTAAAACACACTTACACACATCTGGTCTTGGGCTGCCCGGTCTGAAATACCCTCCATTCATCTCCAGTGTCCAGTGCAAGCATCAGTGTCCTTTATTTCGGTTGAGACATCGTTGCAGACACATTTCAGATGAGCTTCTGCTTTGCCTGAGATGGGTGAGGTTGGCGTGACTGCTTAATTTGTGGTTCTTGGACACATTTTGAACTTGTGATTTGTGTTGTTGGCAGCTTCCTCTGAGCTGGTGAAACATGAAATCTGAATTGTGAATAATAGATTGGTATTTGCTCCAAATTTTGATTAGTCATTTTTTTTCTTGTCTCACCTGCTTGCGAGCTCGAGTCCATTTGAGCTGTTATGTTCATTCCTTCTTTTTATTGAGTGTTTAATTTTCTGCTGGTGCTCACCAGCTTTTACTCTCATTTTATCCATCCATTTATCACCTTTCGGACAGGCCGTCACCTCCTCTTCTTATCACAACCTCTTGATTTTCTTTGTACTCTTTGAGGGTCCCTGTTTTTAGCTGTCGTGCATGACCACTGTATGACCGTTAGAGAATGAAAACTTTTCACTCCCCACTGTAAGTTATTTATATCCCCTAATTTATCCTCCTTGAATTAACCATTTGTGCTTTATTTTATACATAATTTTAATTCAGAACTGCCTTCTTTGATTTGATATTCTCTATTAGTATTTTCATTTGATAGAATTTAGTGTGTATTTGCCTCTGAATATAATTTGTTTTTTTTTTTTCCTTGGTTTTCAGTTCATTTCAAATGAATCTAAGAAAGGGATGGTGATCCAAGAAGTGACGTTGTGACGCAACTTAAGATGGAAGGAAATCTGAACATCTCCTTTTTCCATTCATACTGATATTTTATTTTCTATGCATCGTATTTAGTTTATATGCTTGTGCTTTCTTCTTGGTGACTGGTTTGAAATCTCAATTAACATTTAGTTTTAGCTGATTTAAAAAAAAAAAAAAAGATTTTCTGTAGACATCCCGAATTCATCATCTCCATCACCATTTTTCTTATATATGGACTGTATGAAAACAAAAACAAAAAAGCACCTTACTTGCCTGTTATTGGGCGAAATGGACACATCAAAGGAAGGCGACTATCTTGTCTTATGTTTTTGAATGCTTGCACTCGCCCTCTGTCTTGTGTACCACATTTTTGTAAACATTATCCAAATATTAATGATGAAATGCCACAGGACAGTTAGACTGGTAAGTAACACGATAAAAATATAACACATAAATGTACTTTGTAAGTGTGTTACTGTGTGTTTGTGAAACATGCCTGTCCCTTCTATGGCTCTAAATAGACTAAACTTCATCTATTACATATCAATTAAGCACTTAGTGTTGAGCACTCCATATTAGATCTACTGAAAAAATAACAAAAGGGGAAAAATCTCAGTCAGTTTTCCAAAGCCATCATCAAATTTGACATTTTTTCAACATCATTTGCCAGAAAACATGTGCTGAAGATACTGTTCTCTTCTTTTCCAGTAGTGCCATGAGAAGGACCCAGCAAAGGACGTACATGGATACCTGAACCAATGACGATTTAAGACCAGACCTTTCACTACCGGGCATCAAGCAGCTCCAGAGTTTGTGGACTTGTTCACAGATGAAAATTGACTTTTAAACGAATCAAGAAAAATCTTCTTCTTTTCACCTTTTTTTCTATTTCTATCACATTTTGTAGCCAATGTAGGCTTTGTCCTGGTTCATTTTCGATTTTAAGTACATTTCTTAGATTTGATATAAGACTTAACTTTTCTTCATTGACTGAACATCGTTTTCATAGCTCATACATTCAAAGTCTTACTTGTCTTTTATTTTGTCTTCATTTGTGAGCCAGGCATCTTTCTTACTTTTCTTGAGTGACTTTTCTTAATAGTTTTGATTCAATAGACAATACCTGTGCTCAGTCATCCAGCCTGGATTTACAGTAGGGGCCAACACTTTCATCCACGGTCTCTACGCCAGTCCTACTTTTTCTTACCAATCTCTCAAACTACTTCAAAGGTCAGTCACTCCTCCATCCAGGGCTATGAGAGGAAGAGACAAGACCCAGCTCACATCAACATGCAAGAGTTGAGGAGAGAGAATGGGAGTTGGGCTGGCAATGTTCAAGGTAAGGGAAGAACTCTGTTTTCTTTTCCTCTCTGATGTTTTATAGTACTTAATGAATAATGTACACTACCATTCAAAAGTATGGGATCTGTAAGATTTTTTTTTTTTTTGGAAAAAAAATGGGTTCATGGTTTCCACAAAAATATTAAGCAGGACAATTGTTTTCAACATAGTCAATGATAAGAAATGCTTCTTGTGCAGCAAATCAGCATATTAGACTGATTACTGAAGGATCATCATTGGAGCTGAAAATTCAGCTTAGCCACAAATTACACTTTTAAATATATTAAAATGGCTAAATATTATTTTAAATTGTAATAATATTTCACAATATTGCTTCAGAGTAAGAAATAAATTCTGTAAAAATATGGCACAATGTACTGTATTAATATTAAGGAATTTTCCATATTGATTTTTACAGGCGTTTTACCTGTATTTTTAAATTTTGCGCTTCATTGCGTTGTGTTTTAGGGTAATTGGAAGTGTCTGGAAAAATAATGGATAATGTCCTGGCAGAAAATTACCAGTACAATTTATTTTTCTTTTTTTTTTTTAAACAGTGTGTTTTTACTGTATTTTGTTTGTAAAAAAATAAATAAATGCAGCTTTTACCTCAATTGAATGGCCATCAAAAGAGAAAATGCTTTTTGCCCACAGTATGGTGCTAATAGTCCTAAACGGACCTGGCCAAACCACTTAGTTTAACTTATCAACTGGCATCCAGTTAACATCTTGGTTAACTGCTTTAAAAAAAAAAATTTTTTTTATCGATTTGGTGCAAAAGTGTTCCACAAATTGACAGTTCAATCAAATAATGAGTCATGAAAGAGATGTTAAATAATTTTAAGTTAATTTATCACAGTGGAAATGAAGTACAATTGAGAATGTACTGTTGAATACAGTATGTACACTATATTGTATGCTGCCCATTTTGACAAATGTTGCAGGTTATACTCAACATTTACAGGAAATTTGCATAGAACACATACTGTAACAATTTTAAAACTAGTAATGGTAGAATAATATTCTGAAAATTGCCAACCATTCTCGATCTTTGATGTGCACTTTTAAGCACGCACGTTCACTCTCTCTCATCGCCATTTTATCTTCTGTCACTTATGCCGAGTTCACACTGCACGATTTTCAAACTCGTCGGATCGCCGTTGTTTTCACACTGCGTGATTGTCACTCGCGTGAACGAGCACCGATTTGCCTCCGATTTCGGGCATTTGTCGGCGATTTTGCAAAACCTGTCGGCGAGTGAAAAATCGGGCTAAAATCGTGCAGTGTGAACTCGGCATTACTCGAAGGCCTTAACAACATGTCTGTTTTTCCTTCCAGGGCTGTAATTTTCTGTTGTCTCAATGAATGTGTGTGTTTGTGATCCTCAGTGCGCCATTGTCTTATTTTTGTGCAGGCGTTCACCCAAATTACTCTTGGTCGTGCTGCCTTCTATTCAGTTTGAGTAATGTGCCTGTGGTCTGGGTCAGACATTGTAGCTAAGTGGGTTAATGAAAGCGAGAGCAGGAGCGATAAATACTGAGAAAGAGAGAGGGGGTAAGAAAATAGGGTGAGAAACAGACGGAGAGGTCGAGCTGCCTTTCACTCTCCTGCTCTTTTCTCGAGCTGCTCCAGAGACGCTCCTCATCGCCGTTAGGCTCTTTCTAGGGAAAACACGAAAGTAGTTAACGGATCTGAAAACGTCTGATGACGCATCCCCCTCGTATCGCCCTCTTAAGATGCGCCGCTTCTGATTAACGTGAGGTGACAGCGTTTTTTACCCACGTCAGTGGGGTCGAAGCAGCTGTCAATCAAGCTTGATGTTGATTGACGGGGACCAGAGGGATGAGGACAGTGTGGAATGTCTTTCAGAGTGAAGCATCACTCAGAGATTCTGTTGTTGTGGTAACGGAGCCTCTGTTGGCATGGCAACGGAACATAGGGACACCAGGGCATTCTAGACTTTCAGTGATATAACTGCTACACAGAGATTTCGTGTCAGCTGTTGTTTCATAAATAATGATACTTACGCTGTAGACACCTTGCATGTGTATACAAATTGGCTGACGATGTACTGCTCGACATTGCACTGGTGTATGTGTGTACCGAATGAGCAAACAACGGGCCTTAATCTATCATCCTGAAAAGTGGGGAAATTTGAATTGTATAAATGTTTGTTTTCAAACAACAAGGATAATAGTCAATAAAAGGCTCTCAGGGATGCAGGGATGGATGATGAAACATGTTAGATGTGTAGTGTTGTTGGTGGTGCTTATTTGCTTTATACTTTTGCGGTGAAGACAAAGTAAAAGTGAATCTGGAGGGCTAGTATGTTGTGTACTTTCCAGTAAAGGTCTGTTAATTTATTATTATTTTTATTATTATTAATTATTAATAATAAAATGTAATAATATAACCAAACCTGGCTCTCGCCATGAACATAGCCATAGAAGCTGACATGGCATTAAAAAAGGAAAGAAAAAATGAAATAATAATGTACAAATTATTATCATTAGTAAAAATGAAATGTATTAATAATGTAATAAAATATGAATAAGAAGAATCATATTATTATTAATAAAAATAATAATAATAAAAATAATTGTAATACTTGATGAAAAATGCACAATAAAATGTCTGAAATCCATTATATCCAATACAGTTATACAAGGAAAAACCCCCCCAAAATTTCTGCTACAATTTTGAAAGATTCTAATGCGATAATTTCCAATGTGATTCCAACAAAAAAATTATTGCTTTATTTATTTATTTATTTATTTATTTATTTATTTAAAGAGGATTCATATTTGACTTGTTTGGCTTCAGATTCATTAATTATCATTGATTATTTTAATATCAATAGAAAATAGAAAGATAGTAGATATGTAGAAGTGTATGTACAAAAAAGATAAACTAGAAAATTTTTTTATTAATTAATTATTAAATTGTATTATGTATTTTTCATAGAAGCATTATCCTAGTAAAAAATTCCTTAATCCAATATAGGAATTTTGTTAAAATAATTTGGAAGGATCCTAATGCAATATGATTCCAACAATACTTGTTGCCACAAGGACAATCAAATTTCACTTTATTCAGTAGGATTTTATTTGCTTTTGTTTCTTATTTGATTTTTGTTTGGTTTCAAATGATCATTAATTATTAAATATCAACAATAGATAATAGAAAGATAACAGATGTAATAGGTATATGCAGAAAACAACCAATAAAACTGAGAAACAACTGACTTATAAAGAAAAAGAGCTCTTAACTCAGCTAAACTGAATGAAATTGAAAGTGTATTTTCATTTTCTTTTTTCTTTTTTTTAGTTTTTCACTTGGGTACAGCAGTATATTGTCAGATAAAACTGAAAAATGAAAGCAGGTTACAGAGTTCAAACTGTTGTCTGCCAAATTGCATACACACTTTTGTGTGAAAGTGTTTGTGGCAGCAGGAGAGATGGATTGACATGACATGGAGGTCATTACCCTGCACTGGTCTTTTCTCATCGGCTTAACAGTATTGACTAACAAATTATGCGGATTTGGTTCCAGTGTGTGTATTTGTGTAAATGTGTAAGGGGCGCATTTAACAGTGTTCTCCTGTGTAATCATAAACAGGTCAAAAGCAATATCTAATGGCACAGGTCAGTTTTCAAACAGGCCTGTTACGGCTGTGTGTGCATGTGTGTGTTTTGATTGGTGATGATTTACCAGATTATCAATGTACACCTGTTGTAATTCACACCTCCATCACTATAGGAGTGATTTTGGCTCTCGTCCCTCGTTCGCTAAGATGGTTGAGACTTAGCCTTAATCACAGCACATGACTTCATTACAGATAGAGTTACAGTGACTTAATGAGCTCTTGTCCAGTCATGCACAGTGTCGTAAGTCTCTGAGATGAGTGATGTGCATATTTAATGGTGTAATTTCATTATGTCTTTCATTACAGTATGTCACTTAATGACATTCTGCTTCTTCGGAATGGAGGATATGGATGAGAAAGTTGCCAGTAAGCGGATCTGTACTGCAGACAACAGTCAAAATATCATTATACCAAACACTGCAGTTCAATACCATATTTTGCTTTGCTGTTATTTTTTGTGAAGTGTGAAATACTGGATATATCAGATTAGCTGTCACCTTAAAAACGTTTGGTCTGCATTTTCTAGCTGTCTGCCTTTACTGCAGGGGTGCTCAATCCTATTTCTGGAGATTTACCATCCTCTAGAGTTAATATAAAACTCTAATCAAACACATGGTAATAGGTAGTAATGGTCTTTATGCCAAAAGATCAAGACTCACTTTACTGGTTAGTTTGGTCCAGATAACCCCTGCCGGTAGATGCTGTAATCTTGGGGCATTCAAAAGTGACAATATTTTTTACAAGACTCATAAAAATTGCATTTTAATATATTAGTAAATGTTTTTGCCAGAGGAGAACTCAGAGGAGAATTTAAAAGTTTTAAATGTACAGTACTTTCGTTTTTCCGCGTCTTCTGCCATTCATGTCACACCTCAGAATAGTCACTCAGGAAGATCTTGACAGATTGAGTAATAATTCATGTTATATAAGTGTAATAACAGTTATTTCATATATTTTTTGTGTATATATCAGGGTCGGAAATGAATGGGGGCTTGTGGCAAATATGCCACTAAAATGAAGAAAAGGGGGCACAAAACGGCCTGCACAATTAAGATGAATTAGGCTTATCACAATGTGAAATATGAAATGATTGAAAAGTGCGGCATTACATTTACAGGACTTTGCCTCAGATTTCTTTTTGCGCGTGGTTTGCAGGATTGAGCAATATAACCAATCACACTCGTTTCTGTTGAGCTTATGAATGAAACATCCAATCAGAAACGTTTTGATTCGTCACAGCGGAGAACACCGAGTTGTTCAGTGTGTGCGCTCACTGACTGAATATGAACACGGGACGCCCGTAGCGCAACTGCCCACAAGGCAGCACAAATCAGCGCCGACGAAAGTGCATA